AGCCGCCGCTGATAACCACCAACTGTTCCGCACGCCCAGAAATGCAAGAAAGTATAGAAATAAATCTTAGAACAGTTAAATAAACGAAATTACCATCAAAATATAGATCTCGGCGAGAGGAATCCAACGGTGGGTAGCCCGTCAAATTTCGACTGGTGGAACACAAAATACAACTCAAGACCACCGTCGTCGAATGAAAAAAAAATTGCAGAAACAGATCAGCGCTCTAAACTGAATTAAATCACCACCAAAAGAAGGAGCTCGAAGAGAGGAATCCAACGGTAGTTAAACCATCGAATTCTGACCACCGGAGAGAGAGTTATGACTCCGGGAAGCAATTTTGCCGGTTGGAAATATATGGAGGCGGTATTTTGAATCTGGGAGAAGAAGAGAGAGACAATTGTGAGTGACTAGGGTTTAAAACTGAAATTAAAAGAATATTATATGGACTTCAGGGTGGCCCAGGGGGTATGTCAAAATATTTTCGAAATGAGGGGAGTATCCACTTGATAGTTAGTTCTATATAATTTGGAAATGATGGGTCTACAAAATAATCCTTTTTTTTTAAATGATTTTATTTTTATTTTCATTTTAATAATTTTTTTCTTAATTTTGATTTTTTAAAATGGTTTTTTTTTATTTGCCATATTTTTTAAATAAAAAATGTTTTGTTAAATTATTTTTTTATTATTATTTTTTAATTTCAATTATTTTTTTAATATTTTAAAAAAAAATCCAACATGTTTATTAGAGTGGAATCCAATATACAGTTTTGGAAATCTGCTATAAATTTGTTGAAAGCTATTATAAATTTATTAAAACCGACTACGAACTAGCTGAAATTTACTATAAATTTGTTGAAAACCACTATAAATTTATCGAAGCCCACTACGAACTTGTCGAAATTCACAATAAACTTGTCGAAATCCACAAAAATTTGTTGAAATCCACTATAAACTTATCGAAATTCACTATAAATTTGTTAAAAATATCTCATATCGTTTTGCTCCACATCTCGTACCGTATCGTTATCGTATCGTATCGTAAGATATTTAACCAACTATTAAAATAGTAAAAAATATATATTTGCATTAAAAAAATATTATAAACACATAAAATTTATTACTTTTAAATTTTAAGTTAAATTACTCATTTGAAAAATATAAATTCAAGTTTCAACATCTTATTATAAAATAAGACAAAAAATATAATTGCTCATTAAATAACATCATCTAAGGTGGTGTTTGTCTAGGCTTATAAGATGTTAAAGAGCTTATAAGCTCTTCCAATGTGTTAGGTAATTTTTTTAAAAAGATATTTAAAATTCAAAATATTAGTTGTTGAAGTTTTTTTAAAAAATACATTTACCTCGCCTATTTAGTTAAGATCTTACAATGAGTAAAAATATCTTGTAAGATTATTATCTAAATAATTGAAAAAAATAATTCTAAAAATAAAACGTAACTAATCAACTATTAAAACAACTTAACAGATGTAAGAGTATGTAAGAGTTTATCAGCTGTTTAAAATAAACTTTATAAATGGGCCTTAAGTTCAAATTCGAATACTTAATTTGTAAAAATATTCGATCACTCATAAATTTAAAGATCAATGTCACTTAAATCGTCCTCATCCACCAATTTTAAAGGATTGCCTCCATCATTATCAATCGCAAAATTCAGTAAAAAAACGCCTTGAATCGGTCTTGAATCGCAAAATTAAAATCGCAAGAATCTTTAGAAATTGAATTAGGGTTATGATATTGTAAGGATTGGTGAAGAGATTGAAGAGAAAAGGGTGAATTAAGGTTGGGATATTGAATAAATTTGTTCAAATTCATTTTTTAGAGCAGCTCATTGCGTTTCTTCTTTCTTTTCGTTTTTTTTTTAATTGTCGACTAATATTGTAAATATCGTATCGTATCGTGATACGACGATACGATACGATATCTCACGGTATTGAACGGTATTTATCAATAAGCGATACAGAACCCGAGTTGTATCGTTTTGATTGGAACCGTACCGTATCACAATATATATCG